TTTCAGTTTTCTCCTCATTTATTAATAAACACAAAGCTGAACTAGAGCATGACCACAACCATGACATCTTGCGTGATTACATAACACGCTATATCACAAGTGATTGAGTGAACCATACAACGTTCCATGTCATAATAAGAGTGTCATATATTCACATTTAACAAGTATAAACACAATAATAATGGTAGAATATTAGTTTTCTAAACCTCTCATTTATTTACATTAAAAATAAATAGGCCCATAGAGGCTAATATGCACACAAATCATAACTTTTAGACCCTTAATATCATGCCCAAAGTCATTAGTCAACAAAATGAAAACTAAAAAATATTTGAATATTTTTTCAATGATATATTACTCTATATCATTTAATTAATTTTTACTTTATACCACTAGGAATAATAATGTCTATCCTCATCCCCCAAAACATCTTCCTACATCTTATTTGATTGTTTTTATTTTTCTATTGTATATACTGTGCCTAAACATCCTCTATTTTCTTGTATGTGCAATTTTTTTATTTTTTTTTTCTTCCCTGCTACTGGAAATATGATTTCCCGAAGGTAGTAATCCCAAGGGATTAATAAAGTCAAGTCTAAGTCTAAGTCTAAAGGGTAAATAATGAATGGATTGTGGCTATACAGTACATTTTTTGAAAAGGCATGAAATACAATTTGTGTGTGTGTTTTATGTGCATCAGATTGTAGTTCAAGGATCATGTTTAATTTTGCAGAGATGCCTCATAAGGAGAAGAGGTTAAGACCAAAACAAAAGGAGCTGCAAAAAAGAGAAATGCCACTGATGAGTACAAACAACTCAGACACAGAAAGACACTGACATAATTACAGAGCCACAGATCTCAACAAGTAGTCTCTTCCAAACTATGAGCAGTAATGCAGGTCAGTCACAGTGAGCCATTTTCCTCCTTCTTGAACACATACCTCTTTTTTTAATCAGCTAATATCTCTTCCATGCTCTTTTCAGAGTCTGCACTATCAGAGCAATACAGCCCACCTACAACAACACAGCAGCACAGACCCCCCCTCAACAGAAGCTGTTCGATCTACCCATGAGATAAAACACAGACTCATTTCGCCTTGCACTGTAGTCCAACAAACATTTAAGTATGTGTGTTATGGTGTGTTGTGATTGGGTTGGTAGAATTTAACCGGTTGCTCGGTGCTCCATGTGCCTCCATCTGTGCATTCTACTGTAGGGATGCATGATATATCGATTTTGGCATCAAAATGGGCTGGGGTTTTTTTGTTTTTTTTTCATATATATTAATGTTTGATATATATATATCAAAAAGGAACACGCAAACTCCATGGCCGGGAATCAAACCCAGAACCTTCTTGCTGCAAGGCGGCAGTGCTAATAAGGACCATTTATTCAGATGATAACATCTGAAGCGGCTGCAAACAGCTACTTTGTATTTACTGTGTAAAACAATACAGAATTAAACTGTACAACCCCATCTATTAGAATGTTTATAAACTTAATCTTCACCAGCTGCCATATGAGTTTACCTAAATAGATACATTGATCAACTGCCGTTTAAGAAATAAGTAAGCAGTTGGAAGCCCTGCAGCCATCTTCACTATCATACCTCAACTACTAAAAGGAGGACAGTCTGGTCTAAAAAACCTTCAAATACTGGATGAATTCTCTGTTTTAAGCTTAACAGATAGATGATGAAAAATATTTTGAAAATAATGCAGTATAATTGGTTTCGAAATAGGTAGGAGGAGCTGAAACACTCTAAAAAAATATGACAGCTCTGATTCTTAAAATCTTTTATGTCAATTAGTTTCATCAACATTTCTTTAGCCTTTCCCTCTCATTATTTCTAGGGTATGTGGGCAAACACAGACAGAAGGCCAGAACTCAGGACACAGCTGGCAAAAACAGCTGTCCAAAACAATGCAGCAGATCTTATTTCATTTTGTCATTAATTGATTACAGTAAAGCAGAAAAGTTAGTAACAACTATTTACACTCTAAATGATAGATGTTACCGAATACAAAAAATGCTAAAACCTTATATAATTTCTGAATGGATGTTATTCTCTGTAACTGCGTGCAAGATATAAATCCCGCCCCTTATCCTTTGACAGTGGAACTGTCAGTTATATGAAAACGTTTCCACAGAACATTTAATACCAGGTTTCTAGATAATTCAGTAAAACTGAAGGATGAGTGACAAACTCATTGCTCAAAAAGGAAAAGAAATGGTAAAAATTGGGGCAGCCAACAGTTTTGATCGCATGGTTGTACAGAGAAACATTTCTTTAAATAGAAAAAGCAGCAACAATTATTTTGAAAACAAACAAACAAAGCAGAGGAAAACACTTTTTTTTTTCTTTTAGAGAGGTTTTTAAAAATATGTCATGGCAAGTATATGACAGCCATGTTGGTTTATTATCATATGGAATTTTTATTTTCAGAACAGATTATGGCAGTCTGGTGTAAACATAATGTATTTTGAGGGAAGGCCACAT